GTGGGAGTCACTCTGGAGCAACTTCCCCCCATAAGCCATACATTTCAAAGAAAATGCCATGCTGGCCTGAATAGGATAAACAAAGGTCCCAGAACACAAGTTGGAATTGCTGTCTGTTAGAGTAGTCAAACTGGAGTCCTTGAGTCAAACCAATAGTTGTTTTAGGAGAGAACACCAAGTTGTTGCTGCTTTCGCGGACAAAAGGAATTAAGGCTCCAAGCCCCGCTGCCTGGCTTTATTAGGAGTAGATGGGCGGGGCTGGAGTCCCTAATTAGGAAAAGCTTTCAAGAAAGATCCGAGTCAGCTGCGTGGACGCAGGGAAATACCACAGGTGTGGATTTCACAGTACCACGCAGAAGAAACTCAAGGAATACTCTAATGTGAACATGAGAAGGATTGCTGAATTAAATGCAATCACTAGTTTGAGGGGGTGATTTATTAAACCTGACAGTAAAACCAAAATAAAAACATCTATCTGTCTGAGATGCATAATCCCGAGATTCTCCCCATTCCTCCTATGATGCTTCCTACAGAAGATCTCAAAGCAGACATATTAAAGGTATTCAGATGATAATCTTAGAGTAACTTCTTGAAACATTTTAAAAATCATATCCCTCAATCAAGTCAATTATTCTAAAACTGCCAAGACATGGGGAAAATGATTAGGAATTTCCATTTTAGTTCTAGAAGCAGCAGAATGGGCTGTAACCAGCAGTAACTGAAACAGCTTTCCAAAGCATTAAAGGAGCAATTGATCTTTTTTTTTATTATTAGAAGAGTTATTTGCTCTATAGTTTTCATCAGATCTTTAACAGTCAGGATGACAAAATCGAAGAAAGGATTGTAAGGATTATAAGCCTGAAATGGTATTCTAAAAAAGCATTCAAATTTACTGTAGACTATTTTACATGAGAATACGTGAGAAGAACAACCTTGATAGTCATTTTAATGTATTTTAATTGTCCTTTCTAGGATTTATATCTAAATGGTTAATTTATGTTATTAGTATAACTAGGTTTAGTCTATTATTTGTATTTGGCTCTCATTTTGATGTTAATTTCTGTTTTGTCACAAGTTTATGGTTATTATTTTTATAATATTCTATTTATTTTAAAATGTTTGTATTTGAGTTGGGCATTGAATGTTTGCTTTTTGTGTGTGTCCTGAGTCCCCTTGAGGAGAGTGGGCTGTCTATAAATAAAAATGTATTATTATTGTTGTTGTTGTTGTTGAATAAATACAAGATACTGCAATATACCATTAGATTGCCATTCTGTAAACAGATTGATATCCTTAATATTATCATTAACAGGTCTCTATTATCTAACTTGCAGAAAGCAACAATAATAAATCCCCCCCCCCCCTTGCTGGGAAGGGGCAGATATCTTAGGATTTTACCAGACTTCACTAGTAATGTTTTCAAATGTAAACAATCTGGTTTGAGCAGACTAATATTGTAACCAATTCCCAGTTTCCAGTTCAGAAAAGAATGCTGCTAACACTGCTAAGAGTGTCTTCAATTCAATTAAGTAAGAAGGATATTAAACCTCTAAAGTAATTTAATCTTGCAACCTTCCTGTAACAAAAATATTCAGGCACTGTTTATTTTAACCAAGTATGAAGAATTTGTGCTGTTTTGTATCTGAGCCATCTAAGTCATTACAAGGAGGAAATATTTTTAACATGGATGTTCACAGAGATGGGAGCTAAGCAGTTCTCATAATACAATTGTTTTTGGTCCAAATTTTGCTTCTACATTTAGTCAGAAAACTCAACTTTCCAAATTGTTTGTGGCATTTGTTGATGTCCACCTCTGAAAATTTTCACCTGATAGTGACCCTATCACAGGGCTTTCTTGGCAAGAGTTTTTCAGGAGGAATTTGCCTTTGGGTTTCACTTAGGCAAAGAGAGTACAGAAATTCACTGAATGGGATTCCATGTCCAAGCAGTGACTACAGGCTATTTATTTTACCTACTACTGCAAAATTATTCAGAATTAAAATAATATCTTGTCTCATAAGACACATCAGTCAGGCACACTTATAATTTATATCTGTTTGCATTCAAACACTGGGTCATGTTACAGTTTCCATCAAGAAAACTGATCCAAAGGCAATCTGTCATTATTATTATTATTATTATTATTATTATTATTATTATTATTATTATTATTAATTTTATTTATATCCCACCTTTTTCCCCATGGAGACTTAAGGCAGCTAACAGTCCACACTAGACAAATTTAAAAAGTGCAATACAATTTTTAAAAAAACAATTAAATAGTCATAGTGTGGTAAATAAAGAATTAAAATACAATAAATACACTAAAATTGCCTTTAAAATTTATATCTAGTATCTCTTTGTTTCTTTTAGTTAAGTGGTATTTTCTTTCATGAAAATATTGTCAAGTGCCTAAATGCAAGCTTCACATATGATTCCATCATGGAACATTCCCCTATTTCTTTGGCATCGCTTTCAATTTGACATCTTGAATAAAGTCACTTTGAATTATATGTTGTCTTTTCAGACAGCCGCAGCAGCCTGCAGTATTTTTAGTCAGCACCTCTTTACATTTTACACTTTGTTCAGCAGACAACAGGCTAGATTCTTCAATGACATCAATGCAGTCCTATCTGCTTTCATATACTTCTGAAGAATGAAATAACCTGAAATGAAAGCCTCAAATGATGCAAGATGAAAGTACAACAGAGAATAAATCTCATTCTCAGATTTGGCTGGTAGGAATGTTCTACTAATAACAGAAAAAAAATCAAGAGTCTTCTTTGTATACTTCAAATGAATTAGAGGCTAGTACATTTAGTTTTCAAAATGGAAATAAATTACGTGAAAGTTACCATCTTAAGCTTTTATATGAAAGAGATTATATGAGTAAAATATGTCAATAAACATTTTCTGCTCCTTCCATTTCCATGCAAAAAGACACTTGTTGCTTACATATTTCTAAGGATCCAAATTCACCCCTTATAATTCATAAATATGCAGTATCAAATTCCAATACTAAAAACATCTGTAGGTACAATAAAACCTAAGTAGGTACAATAAAAGCTGAAGGAATACATACATTCAAGAAGAGATTATTGAAAATTGGTTACCTGCAAGAGCCCACTCCCCAGAACTGTGAGAGTGGCCACTGTAATATAACACATAGGTATCATGTCGGGGTCCATCAGGTGTCCGAAGTTCAAGAAATGATTTCAGCTTAGAATGAAGTGTATCAAGAGAAAGTCCACTTGTGGAGTAGTCACAACCGTAAGTCTCTATCATATGATACGCAAAAAACCTTTGAATGGCATTCAGCATGCCTGTTGATCTCAAATTTAGTTCTTGTACATGTTCGGGCGGTAGCAATGTCGGCTGGCCATCAGGGCTGCATGATGAGGAAAGGAGAACACACATATATTATCATTAATACTTCTCTACTAACATGCATTGATGTAGGTATTACCTCTTAGTAAATGTTTTTACCTGTTATTAGCTGCTGGTGAGTCAAATTCAACTTATAACAACTCTCTGAAAACCTCCAAATCCTCTTGTTTTCAACAGCCCTGCTGAGGTCTTCACGTTATCTATCTATAAAGCAGTCTTACTCTTTTTCTACTACCTTCTACCTTGCCAAGCATCATAACCTGAGCTCCATCATCACTGTAATAACTCAAGAATTTAAAAATTGATATGTTCGGTTACTCACTTTTTAAAACAAACCAAGCCAAAGCCACTAAATAGATCTGTGGGCTATAGGTAGCACATACAATTAGTATTGTATCTAAGAACAATAGTAAACATGGATCCTTCTATCACCTCCCTGGCATGCCCTTTTACAAATTCATTCACTGGTTCAACCTGCACAATGGTTCTCAATCTTAATTAGGACTTTTAGTCAACAAAAGTAATGGAAACAATACGTATCTCAAAGCCTAGAAGAAAATCACACATGGTCTATTAAGTTGGTGAGCTTTCTTACACTACCTTCTAAAAAGAGTGAAGAAGCTGATCACCCATACATTGTTGCCCAACCTTGGGGCCCCTTTGGTCCCATGCTTGGTATTGCTTAATATACAGAAAGATGAATTTCTATGGCATCTTATGTTGCTGTCTTTCTAAATGTAGAACAATCTGGAGAAAGTCCAGTATTGAGTATTCTGTGTTCAAAAACAGCCTGATCTGACATATTAGTAATTTAAAGTGGGCAGAAGCATGTAAAATCCATTTCGCTTCAACACAGGAGCAGCACACAGTGTTTTATAGTACAACTGAAATTTGGCAGGCCTTTTAACAGTCTTAGCAATTTAAGCAGTAAATAGAAATACTGATCACAATCAGCTCTTTTATTGCAGTTATTATTAAAATGTGATGCGCTAAAATGAACAGGACATTATAGCACACAGAGTTCTTTTAAAATAGACTGAACTGATCTAAGAGAATGGAACAGTACACTTTTTGATGCAAATAAGGCATGTTCATTTAGTAGAGAATTAGACTTAAGTAATTCTGCCCTCAGAATGCTTAAATGTACTTCTCATTAGAGGGCAAGAAGATAGACATGTTACCTTAAACAGAAATGCCCCCCCCCCCCTCCAAATAATGAAGAATGTTAAAATCCCTCTAAGTGTTTTGATATAATTTTTGGACAGAAGATGAAAAGCAAGAGATTTATGAGACTGTTTTATTTTCTGTCATTCCAGTTGGCATTTGGATTCCGCCAAGATTTAGTTTTTGAACTAAGATTCCAATACTGAACAAGCAGAAATCAAAATTTCAACAACCTTCTCTCCATCATAAACCTTAAAAGAGGTTTCATGTATCTCAGGAGGCTTTCAAATTAATTTGAATGACACATAATTACATCTTCAAATCACAATTATATCATATTCAGAAGTTCAGCAAATCAAGCCAATAAATTAATATTTAGCTGATGCTGATACACGCAATATGGTGTACAATTTAGATTAACTGTTCACTTGTAAAAGCATCAGGATACCTGCAGAAATTTGTAGGAATCACAACTGCATAGCCAACACAAGTTCCTCCTAAGCAGTTTCCCAGTTCATGAAAAAGGCCATGAGCCATGGATTCAAGAGGCAAAACAATCAGAAACACGCTCATGAAGATTCCATTGGATTTCTATAACAGAAGATTTATAGTTATATTAGAGGAGCACATAAATATAAAGGATGCAAAAAATTAATTTGGTTGTTTTCGTCCACCAGACTAAACAGATCTCACTTTGCAAAAAATCAAAAAGCAAGCTAAAACATCTGATTACAATCTACATTTTAGGAAAACAGCTGAATTCAACATTCGTTTAAACTTAATCTGAAATAGGATTGTCTTCATCAACAAGAAAATTGAATCTGGTTCTAAACTCATTCTCGTGTACAAAGATCTGTACATACACTGTGGGTTGAACAACATAACTTTATATAGCATTACATAAACATTTACTTACAGAGCCATTAAACCAGACTTGATAAAATAAGTAAATATGTTATTTATTTATTTATTTATTTGAAGATTTATATCCTTGTCTTTCCAATTCCAAAAGAAAGCATTCTCAGGGATTCAAATATCTTACACAAGAGGGAATGTTCAGGTAAATTCTAAAAGGAACTGTGGAATAGTAATTTCTGTGCGCTTAATATGCAAAGTTGCATTCAAAGCAAAACCGGAAAGTAGAGTAATGAACTACAGCAGTATTTAAAACGATTCAAAGATAAACTATATGAATGTTATCTACATGCTGATTATGATAGTTCTGGCATTACTCATGACACTATTAGGCTTCCAACAAAATATAAAGGATTGCTTTAATTTTTGGGGTGCTGTATGGACATGTACCAGAAGCATACTCTCCTGACGTTTCACCAACATCTATGGCAGGCATCCTCAGAGGATGTGAGGTCTGTTGGAAACTAGGAAAATGGGATTTATAAATCTGTGGAATGTCCAGAGTGGGAGAGAGATCAAGGTGGCCAATTGAAACATTCATACATATCTAAAAGACAAGAGTTCTTTCTCCCACCCTGGACATTCCACAGATATATAAACCCCAATTTCCTAGTTTCCAAGAGACCTCACAAGCTCTAAGGATGCCTTCCATAGATGCAGGCAAAACGTCAGAAGAGAATGCTTCTGGAACATGGTCATACAGCCCAAAAAACTTACAGCAACCCAGTGATTCCGGCCATGAAAGCCTTCGACGATACATTAAAATATAAAGGATTTCATTGCTCATGCAAGCTGAAAGAGAATCTCTTTTCTTTAGAACTAATCAGTACTTTTAAAATGTGGAATAAGGGCTGCTGACATTGCAAAAGTATAACAGTCTGTTTAAGATAGATGTTTTTGAAACACATAAAAGTCAGTTTCCAAATCTGTAACTCACAACCAGCTTATCAATACAACTCAGATTAGCCACATAAAGACAGGTGGCCACTTCAGAATGATTCTTATTTAAATTTTTTGGACTGAGTTAAAAATAGTCAAGGAGCAGATTAACTCTCACCAAAGGTTACCATTTGTTCCTGGGCTGCCCTGTATGTTGCAATGGGAATAAAAGCCCACTATTAACCACTCAATGGTTAATAGGCCATTCAGTACCTATTAACAGGAATATCAGACACTACACACTGAACACAACCCATCAATTCTCTATCAGTGTCAGGTACTACAACCACAACAACTTATCCGCTTCTCCTTGTGGCTCGAGGCAGGTCATAAACACATACTGCACTTAAGTGAGGAGTTCAATGTAAGTTCCCTTTTTCTCTTATACACATGTACCAGCCCACTACAGAAATGCAGTTTGCTTCCAAATTATTAAAATGCAGTTCTTAAAACATTCATGTCTTTACTGCAGAAAACTTGCAACATTACTCATTCTTACAACTTACAGTATATCAGAGGAAAAACTCTCCACAGTACCATGAAAAATAGCTCAGCTAAGCATCTCAGCTAAGGTGATACATGCTAGAAACTACTATATATAATCTCCCCTCCATCAATACAGACAAGAGAATGTAACGTAAAATGATTGGAACATACCTGCCAACATACAGCACCCAAAATGGCTGTTGAAAAAAGGCTGAAAAAGACAAGCCGCTCTGAAATCAAGCAAAAATGGCGCATTCCTTTAGATGCCATGACTCTATCAAGGCTGTTGTTCTCTGCCCTGTGCGTGTAATAGATTTTGTGACAGTCATTTAATTTTGTATGAAATCCCCAGAGAGTTATAAGAAAAATGACATGGCACACCATCCAAAAAATGCCGAAAATAGAAAAACCTGGAATCACAAAATACCAGCGATCCAAATCGCCTAATTTAAGGGCTGACAGAATAAAAGAAATAAGTTCAATAAGTCCGACAAAAATGACTGAAAATCTTCGGCAGACTCTTCCACGATACAAATAAGGTTTCCAACGTTCTGTTACTGAGAGGCCACTGAAGTAAATGTCAAGAAGAGGGTCTGTTACTAAACAGCTAAAAAAGCATCCCAAGGCAAATGGATTGGTTGGTATGTTTAAGGATGGAAAAAATAATAAAGAGGCAAGGACTCCAAAGATTACCAAATTGGGAATTGCTAGGAAAGACTTCATGCGCAAGTCAATAATCAGCATTGCCAAGGCCACAACCAATAAGATAATGCTCATGGATTTTTCTACTAACATAGTAGTGCTGGCGATTGCGAATCCAACAAGCTCAAGAAATTCAACTGTTGTCAGTAAAGTGGGTCGATGATGAATGCAGCCACATATTCTTTGAACCAATGCATATAATATTCTTATAATTATTGAGGAAAGCAGCAAATATTTGGTTGCTTCTTCTTTCACGTCGTTTTTGAAAGAATTATTATCAAGAAAACAGAGAAGGCCAATTAAAAATCCAAACCAAAGGTTAGAGAGACTTAAACTTGCTGCTTCCATTGAAAAATAATAATAAAGTATACTGGCAATCCCAAGAACAAAAAGTCCTAGGATAAATATTACGAGTATTAATGCATCCGCAGTCTTTTCCCACCTGACATAAAGGCCCATACATATCGCAACCAGTAAATTAATTCTGGCTAAATAGCCCAGATACCGGACAGAGGAGTGCATGTTCATTTCTCGATTTGCTTCTTCCAGTCTTGTCATTGCTGCATAGAGACAATGGCTAACACAGTAACGCAATGATCTACACATGTAAGCTGGTTAGTAGGGCTTTTATCCACTTCACAGAAAATGAGAGCTTGAATTTCATTTAAGGAATATGATGCAAAATCAGGTTTCTTGAGTATAGTTTCACCAACAATAGTCTTGGATTATTGAAGTCCTGAAAGAACAAACAGAATCATCAAGTTAGACAGATTTATCAGATGTACAGCTTTGGCCCACCACATCAAGTATACCAACAGTGCTTTTTCCTCCATATAGAGCTTTCAATGCATCTCATGCAAAAAAAAAAAAATTCTCCAGAAAGTAATCCATTAGTTTTAAACATGTCATATGATTCTTTATTATTTACCTATAAAAATAAACATGAGTACTCCTTAAAAACTGCTTCAGAGAGTTTATCTGTATGGGTGATAATGACCTCTTAGTTGTGCTAATGGAAACAATTCTGTCACCGCAACCAACATTTGGCTACAGTAAACATACATGAAATTCATGAGTTACTTTTTTATCTTCAGTCTGACAAAAAGCAAGTTTTAAATAAGATGTACGGATTTTTTAGGGCAAGGGTGGGGAATTAAACTCTTCCCACAATGATCCTGTCCACAGGGAGACTGATGTCAGGGACATGCTTACATGCTTGGTGCTGCTGGGTCCTCAGCTGGAGTAACAAGTAGAACTTCTTTTGCTGGTACGTCTACTGCAATCTCAGTCTTGCTCCAATTTCTCGTCCTGCACAGGAAAGGCAAGAGGATGGGGGTTAAGATGGCATGAGCTGACACTTCAGGAACCAGCTGAACATAGTCTGACGTATCATCCCTTGTCATCTCTATAGAGAGAAAAGTAGTCTAACTGGGTACTTTCAGATGCCACTGCAGAAGACAGTTAAACCAGATCTCACAGTGAAGGTTGGGTGCTCCCAACACTGGAATTCCCTCCTTTCAAATGCAGGATCGGAAAGAAAAGAACAAAATAAAAAGCTGTGTCTTTAAGGCACAGTTTACTGTTTCTCACAGCACAATCTCCTTGTTGGGGAGGAGTCTGAGGAGGGGTAAACGGAGCAAATTCCACAGAAACCAAAACCTTTCCTGGTCTAAAAATACTCAGCTGGACCTCAAATCTCCAACCGAGAGCACATCATTCTCCCATCACCTTCCACGTGCAGGGTCTGAGTCTGGACTCAGTACTTTGAAGTGCCAGTACATTTTGCTACCCCTTTGTGGCTACCTAAAGGGTTATCTTGCTCCCTAAAATCCTGGCTAAATTCACTTCAGCACCCCTTTGTCCTCTCCACACGAACAGGTATTATGCTGGGTCCCTGACTGAACTGCCAGTTGGAAACATTCAGCATGGGATGTGGAGATAGCAGGGACCATGGCCACTTTCTAAAATCCTCCAGCCCAGAGGAATCTGGAAACCCTGAGCCCATTTCTAGGGCTTCCCATCCCTGCTCTACAGTTTCACATATGCAAGCCCGCTTCTTACAATTTAAAGCATAATTCTTTCTTTTGATTTATTGCTGAATTTTTGAACTGTAATAATTATATGTAAACATTAAACTGAACCCCCTTATACTTATTTAAAACTTTAAATGAGGGTTTATCTCTTCTGGAGTCATGTGAAACAACATATAGTCAGAGACTGACATATACTGAACTAAGGCCCCTTCTACACTGCCATATAATCCAGATAATCAAGCAGATAATCCACGTTAGCTGCTTCGAACTTGATTATATGAGTCTACACTGCCATATAATCCAGTTCAAAGCAGAAAATTTTGATTTTATATAGCAGCATAGAAGGGGCCCTAGAGAAAACACTTGAATCAATGAATAAATGTGGAGGGCTGACTACACATATTTTAAAAAGTCTTGATTTTTTTTGGTCATAGCAGCACTTGGTACAACATCTTCAGGACATAAAAAACCACTCAATCATGGGCATCATCATCATCACCATCACTCTTGATTCCACCACCTTCCAAAGCGTTAATTGCAATCTCCATGAGAAAATTATTGCCTTTAATAAGTACAGTTGGCCCTTGGCATCCACTGGAGTTTGGTTCCGAGATATCAAAATCCCTGGATGCTCAAGTCCCGTTATACACAAATACTTATAAAACTGTGTCTCTTATACAGGGTGGGCTAAATGTTAAAAAATGGGTTTCAACATTTAATAACTTGTTTATAATTTTTATTTTATTTTACAGTACCATATCATCATATACATCAGGCATGTGGCCCTGGACAGCTATGAATGTGGCTTAACACAAAAACATAAACTTACTTAAAACCATTATGAGCTTTCTTGTGTAAGCCAATTGCATGATTTTCAAGCACAAACTTTGTAGATAACAACAGAACAGAATGGAATAATCAGAGTATGTTACATCCATACAGTTATAATTTGCATTATAACTGTGAACAGTTTTGGCAAGAAGATCTGCTGCACAGTTTTAAAAGACTGGGGTGGTACATAACATTATGTAACAAAATTTGAAAAATGATGTGTTTGAAAGTGTTATTTCCTGTTTAATTGTGCAGTACTTACTTTGAAAGTGGTTTGTATACTCCAGAAACTTTGTTTTTTGTGGTCAATGAGATATTCATTGAAAAGCTATTGCAAATGTGCTGTAGGATGTTCCGCAAAACAATGTTTTTGCAGTTAAATAAACTTTTTCCATGTTTTTAATGATTGAAACAATTAGGAAATGACATTTATAACCCAGGAACAAAATTAGTGTTACATAGTATAATCTGGGATCAGATCTTGGGAACTACGGCAGTGTAGACCCAGTCTTTGGGCTCTGTATCGGAATAAGCAAGGAATCAATGGCACCAGTAGGAGCTCCCAGTGGCGCAGTGGGTTAAACCCCTGCGCTGGCAGGACTGAAGACCAACAGGTCACAGGTTCGAATCCGGGGAGAGTGAAGATGAGCTCCCTCTATCAGCTCCAGCTCCTCATGCGGGGACATGAGAGAAGCCTCCCACAAGGATGGTAACACATCAAAACATCCGGGCATCCCCTGGGCAATGTCCTTGCAGACGGCCAATTCTCTCACACCAGAAGTGACTTGCAGTTTCTCAAGTCACTCCTGACACGACAAATTAAAAAAAATTAAAAATCCCGCCAGTGAGCCATTGGCAATCAACATTGGCTAAACAAGCTGATTTTCCTTTTTTTGTGGAATACAGCTGAAGCATTTTCTGTAACCCACTGCAAAAATGACCAGTTGTTGCTAATAGATTTGTCTACATAGTGTTCAGAAACTTTTTCCTCTTGCCATTTTTGTGAACCCAACATTGAGCTAAAGGGATTCCATTTGGGGTTGGGACCCACAGTTTAAGGCCACTTACACACATCTGTATAAAATTCCACATTATTTGCTTTGAACTGGATTATATGGCAGGGACTCAGGATCCCTCCACATAGCACTATATCCCAGAATATCAAGGCAGAAAATCCCACAATATCTGCTTTGAACTGGATTGTCTGAGTTCACACTGCCATATAATCTGCTCAATGTGGATTTTATACAGCTGTGTGGAAGGGGCCTTAGTCTACACTGCCATATCATCTAGTTCAAAGCAGATAATGTGGATTTTATACAGCTGTGTAGAAGGGGATATAGTGTAATTAGAATTACTATTAGCAGGTATCAAAAATATATACAGACCTTTTAAAAATGTTCACCAGGTATTGTTAGTGTAAGTTTATTTAAGACAATTCTTCTTACAATATTTCCCAGGGAAGCCAAATGTTTGGACATTCTTAACACATCTGAATAAAATCCCACATAATAATAATAATAATAATCTCCCGAAGGGACTCGGGGCAGCTTATAGACAGCACAAAGTGCCTAAAAACAAACATAAAAGTGAATATAACGTAAAATACAATAAAATAAAACACATACACATATAAAAACATCAACTCAGACTCAATCAAGCTGCGATCCTCATTATCTGCTTTGAACTGGAATATATGGCCATGTGGACTCAGATATCCCTGGGTTCTTCCACACAGCCTTTTATCCCAGGATCTGAGCCCCCTGTGCCAGCAGGACTGAAGACCGACAGGTCGCAGGTTCGAACCCAGGGAGAGGCGGATGAGCTCCCTCTATCAGCTCCAGCTCCTCATACGGGGACATGAGAGAAGCCTCCCACAAGGATGACAAAACATCAAATCATCCAGGCGTCCCCTGGGCAACATCCTTGCAGACGGCCAATTCTCTCACACCAGTTTCTCAGATTGCTCCTGACACGACAAAAAAAAAAAAACCCAACAAAACCCCACATTATCTACTTTAAACTGAAATATATGATTCTGCACTGCCAGATAACCTGGGATAAATAGATATTCTGGGATCAGATCCTTGGATAAAGGGAAGTTTAGAAGGATCCTTAGGCCCTTCCACACAGCTGAATAAAATCCCACATTTTTGCTTTGACCTGGAATATATGGCAGTGTGGACTCAGATAACCCAGTTCAAAGCAGATATTGTGGGATTTCATAGTCTGGGTCATATGGCTGAGTGGTGGGCCCTAAGGATGAGTGGAGCCAGGGAAAACTTCCGGACCACTCCAAAGAGGCAACAGGAGGTCGTTCTCCCTCCTTTCTTTATTTGCTTCCTCCTCCCTCATAAATTGTCTACTGGGAAACAGAGGGCCATGAACTGGGCCGGGAAAGGCCGCAACTCTCTTGGAAGGCACGGAGAGCGAGCGGCCTCCAGAGAACAAACCCGCCTGAGAGGAGCAGGCAGGCAGCCGAGAGAGGCCCACGCCTCCCGCTTGGGCCCCGTTCCCCCTCCTTTCCGTCTTGGAGGGAGGGAGGGCCGGGCCCTTTCTGCCTCCGCGCCGCCACTTTCCTCAGAACTCACCGGCGGCCGCTTCCTCTCAAAACTTCCCCTCCCGCCGCCATTTTGGCCCGTCCTCCTCCGCGCTCCGGCCGGGTACGGGAAGCACGGGGGCTCAAGCCAGGCAGAAGTCGTAGCGGGCGGCGGCGGCGCGCACCTTCCGCTTTTCCTACTTCCTAAGAAGACACAGCTTGGTTCTTCGGCGCTTCCTTCCTCTCTCTCTCTCTCTCGCCTTTGGCCTGGCGGTGGAGTTCGCTTGGCGCTCCCAACACGGACAGGCCCTTCAAGACGTCACTCTCTCAAAGGAATGTGGGGCAGAGTGTTTGCTGGGACACACGCCTTTGTTTAGACGGGAGTTTGCTGCTGGGAATCGCCTCAGTTCCCAGAGGGAAAGCGAGAAGCTGAGGAAGGAGGAGGCACATTTCCACCATGACTCCTTGGCAGCTCATGTTGGCCCCTTCCATACAGCTGTATAAAATCCACATTGAACTGGATTATCTGGCAGTGTGGACTCAGGTAACATAGGCCCCTGCCACAGTTGAATAAAACCACACATTATCTGCTTTGAACTGAAATATATGGCAGTGTGGACCAAGGGGCCTTCCATACAGCCATATAACCCAATATCCAGGCAGAAAATCCCACAATATCTGCTTTGAACTGAAATATATGGCAGTGTGGACTAAGGGCCCTTCCATACAGCCATATAATCCAATATCCAGGCAGAAAATCCCACAATATCTGCTTTGAACTGAGTTATCTGAATCCACACATAGATGTGGGATTTCCTGCCTTGATATTCTGGGATATAGGGCTGTGGGCTCACTCGCGCACGTGTTTCCCAAATTCATACCCACGTTGCGCATAGGGTCCCAGCTATCATATTATTGCCAGATAACCTGAGTTATCTGAATCCACAGTGCCATATATTCCAGTTCAAAGCAGAAAATATGAGATTTTATTCAGCTGTGTGGAAGGGGCCTCAGATAACCCAGTTCAAAGCAGATATTGTGGGTTATTATGCCTTGAAATTCACACTGGCAACGAAGATCCGCATAGTAAAAGCAATAGTATTCCCCGTAGTAACATACGGATTTATTTATTTCTCGTGTCAGGGCAGCCAGTCAATTATATTACATTTCTAACAGAACAAAGCAAACAAACAGAGGGAAGGCTAAGTGAAGGAAGATAGAAGCTTTTGAATTGTGGTGTTGGAGGAAAGTTCTGAGAGTGCCTTGGACCGCTAGAATATCCAACCAATCCAGGAAATAAAGCCCAACTGCTCATTGGAGGGAAGGGTGTTACTGGGATATATAGCAGTGTGGACTCAGATAACCCAGTTCAAAGCAGATATTGGTGGATTTTCTGTCTTGATATTCTGGATTATATGGCTGTGTAGAAGAGCCCTAAGAGTGTCATTGTGGTGATGATACCCAAGGGCCCTTAAATCTTGGGAGTGAATATCAATACATCCTATTCATTTAATTTTCTAGGTAAAGATTAGGATTGCACCTTAATCAGATACATGCCCTACTATATACAATGGGATTTATATCCAAGTAATCGAACAAGGAGAGCCAGCTTAAGTTAGTGCTTTAAATGTTCGATTATGATCCTGGAGACCACGGTTCATGGTCCCACACAGTCATGGAAGCCCATTGGCTGACCTAGGGCAAGTCGCTCTCAACTTCAAAGGGAGACAAAAGCAACACCCTGTGTACAAATCTTACCAAGCAACCCTCATGATGGGTTCACTTTTGTGTTGCCATAAATCAGAAACAATTCGAAGGCACATGGCAACAATTGAAGAGGAGTGTATGTACCACATCAGGTTAATATATAATGATGCATAGGATTCCCTACCTCCAACCAGTTTTGGACAGAGGAAAAAATGCCAGCGTGAATACAGTGGCAATGTGTGGAAAGCTACATAAAGAACTGAACCACATGTTGTTCCAGAACGGTTAAGACTAGCAAGCCGCACCCTTATATTACCTGCCAAAGGTTCCAGTACTAGAAGCAGAAATGTAAATGATAAAATGAGAAGTAGGTTGCATTGGTATGCTAACTAAACATACAATTCTCATAGTTTTAATTATGTCACTGTGACAACTGGGTTTCCCTCCACTGTGTTTGAAAAAGAGCAATGGAAGCTGCTTTGTCAGAACACAAAGCCAAGTTTGTGCAAACATAGAAGTCCTTAACACCTCAATATTCTTTGAAAAGCTAAAGCTGCTATAATTTATGTAATCCGGCTTAATTTACAGCGAGTATTGATATTATACTTGTAAATAAAGCAGGATTGCATAAATCAAATGACATAAATTATTATTCTACTTTAATTGTGATGGTTCTGGCCTCTGAAGTCCTAAGCCTGGCAGTTTAAGGAGCTATAGTTATAATTCTCAAGATGACAGCTCCAGTGCCTCACCAAACTACAAACTCCAGGATTTCATAGGATGGAACTCTGATTTGAACTGGAATATATGGCAGTGTGGACTCAGATAACCCAGTTCCAAGCAGATGTAGAATTTCCTGCCTTGATATTCTGAGATATAGGGCTGTGTGGAAGGGCCCTAAGGCTGACTCAACTACTGAGATGCTTTGGAGATTTTCTCTTACTACAGAGCAAGGTGTTTAAATATTCCCTAATGCATATTTTTGTGATTATTTGGAGAAAATTGCAGGATGAGCACTAGGTATTATGTTTCTATATATAAAGCATGATTTCATTAGTCAACAATTGCTTTTGTGACTGTGTAAAATCTGGTTTCTACATCAAAATATTCTACCATTCCTTCAGTTTTGCAACAAGGCAGTAATTACAATTTGTGTTGTCTTCATAGCAAAATGTCAAGTTGGTGAAACTGGGAATGCATCAACCACACTTAGAAATCTGTTTACACTTTTTCTTTTAATGCACTCTCTCACAGAACAGAAGGAAAAAACAAATGCAAAGTTTGGTGGCACGCTTTCTTCCCACAGATCTGGATATTTTCTTTTCCATTAGAATCTCAAGAAGTCTTCCAGATCTGTATAGGCATCCTGAAAGCTGCATTTCTAGTGAACCCCCATGACAATTTCTCAAAAGAAGCAAAGCAATGGTTTAAAAAAATCACCATACCAACAACTATCACTTCCAGGAAAAAAACATCATTTTGAAAGATGTATCTACATTAGGGTACCGAAACAACAACAATAATCAAAGCTCTTTTTTCTAATGAAATACCCATAACATTGTCACCAAGCCATCCGTTATTATTGGCCAACTTCTACCATTCAATTTCATCTACATACACCATGACCCAGATTCCATCGTGTGCATGAATGAGGAAAACAGTGACATTAATACATACAATATAACAGAAGTGCATTGTGCTAAGGAGTTCTTAGGACTTTTTGCTAATAAACAGCACATCATGCACATTTTAGAGAAGTATAACCAGTATTATATAATTGAAAGGACAGCACCAACAAGTTTTTAACTACTGCAAGAACTAAAAAAACTAGGAAGCTTTTCAAAATCTAGTTATGAAAAATATTAAGCATGAGATGTAGGAAAACTTCAATTTGCTTGGTCAGCAACTTGTTTTGTTCAAGGGCTTCTGAAAATCCTCTAGAATGTGATATGTCAAAACTATCAACTACTGTTATGAGATGTAGTTAATCCACAGTCCACCTTAGCTTGAATACAAATGAGTTGTCAAATTTTGCCTAGAGGCTGGAAGCTGCTGACTAATATTTCTTTTTTAAAAGTTCATATTCTAACATTGAATTCAATATAGATAAGGGATAACTCAAGAAACTTTGGTATGCAACTTTTCATTGGCCGATTCTCTGATGCACATTGAGAAGGGACAGGATATTTCTCAAGCTGATACTGGTTTCCAGCAACAGTAGTTTCATTTCATTTGAGCAGCCGTCCTCAATTTTGCAGTAAAAAACTACCCTTGAGAAGAAAGCCATAGAAAAGAAACTGACCAGGTGGAGAATCAGCAAGATAGTATTTCTAAATCTCATCATTTAGATTGAAGGTTCACTGACCTATCAGCAATAGAGAGAGAGAAGAGCATACTATTGTGGCCCAAGAATTATGGCAAGTTGAGGCTGCTATTCCAAGAAATACTTAGATGTCGCATTATGAAAAAAGTTTAATGGGGTTACTGCTTGAAAATGAAATTAGGACATTCTTGGGCTTTTTAAAAATTGGTTGCAGGAAAGAGCTTAAAGAAAATGCTTCCATACAAAGCGACATCACAATTTATGACTATTTCTATATATGAACTACCTAGCACATTATGCAAAAAGCAAATGCAGAAGTCAACTGTGAAACCTTAGTGCAAAGTTTTGGTTGGAGTGTGAGAATTACATGTATTTCATAAAGAAACTACACTCCCCTCTCTACCTTTCAAGCTGTGTAGTGATATTCCTAAAATGGCACTTGGCTACATAACTGTCTGCCTAATGTTAACACTATCTTTTTGAAACTACAGAATATGTACCGGCCGAAACCCAGAGTCACGCAAATATAAATGCTTCATGCCAATACTTGACAAATGGTTTTACACCCTTATAATAATAATAATAATAATACAAAATCACTTTCCTATCAAGTGTTGGCTTGAAGCATTAGAATGCAATTCTTACAGTTAAAAATGTGATGCAGCTGAGAAGAGTTAGTGCAGGAAGTAAAGCAAACTTGTTTCAGCATAAGAGTTGTGAACATAACATACTTTTAAAATTACTACCAAAGAAGCTAACTCCTTTGATTCCAAATATCTTTTAAAAATATATGCAGATTAGCCTCTAAAAAGCCCTCCAAAATGAATTATTTTCACTTACAGTTGATGGACCCATTGCAAAGAAAAATATTAATGTCTACAATATCAGGATTATCAAAATTTTGCCAATATCATTTAATGCAAGAATTTTGAAAGTTCACATTTCCTACTTGAACACTTTGCTGCATAATGTTTTGTAAAACGGTACAATATGAAATGTCAGAATATTGAAATATTCTATCAGAAGTGGGGGCAGAGAGCTAGTTAAACCTGCATGTTATGTATTATCCTAAGGACAGAGAGGATGGTATCCTACAAAATGTTCCAGTTGCACATTTACTGACAAGTTATATTAAGCAGATATTTTCATTTCACCAGATCAAGATCAATTCACACTAAACTCTGTTCTTTCTATATGTTGTTTGTTCAAGTCAAAAGCTAAGTCTCTTTCTTAGACATCACCAGTGCATATTATCGCTTATGCTCAAACAACTGAGAAATACTAGCATGAATCTCAAGCAATGCAGAAAATAAAATAAAAAATCAAATCAAGATACACTGGTGTATATTTCAGAATCACAGCTTCACAGCACTGGAGGGAAGGATAAATAGTACCTTTCTGTAATATTTTACTGATACAAATACTAAAGTAAACCTTGTTCATGCGATCACATGAGCCATTCTGCATAACACACACGCTTCAAATTTTCAATACAAGAATAAATTTTAAAATTCAGAAGTAGAAAAAAATAGTGACAGTTTTCTGAAATCTTTTTGTACTTCCTTTCCACAAATGTTTTATGTGCAGAGCAGATGTCAGTTTAGCAAGATTAGTTTTACAGTAAATGGAGCTTGGGCTTCAAGATTTCAACAGTTACACTAAGTTAGAAGCAGTATAGGGTCTTCTAGCTCATAGAAAGGAATAGAGCTGGCCTGGCTCTCCCCTGAGTCTGAGTCATAAGGAGCGTCTGGGAGCTCCATGAAACTATATGCAAGTTGTTCATCTTCAGCTTCTGACCGGATATAGCAGGAATTATTAGAAAATTCCTCCTCTTCTATACTGTTGAAATCCTGGGGGATGTACAACATTCCTGGGTAGTTCCTGCTCACCAAGTCACTAGTTGTTTTGAGAGATATCTTTCTAAATGCCATTAGATGCATGTGAGAGAGCTTGGAGTACTTGAAACGTTTAAAACCCAAGGATTCGATAGCAATTTTCCAGCTTTTCATCATCATAGCATGGCGATTCTGATGGGATGAATCAGGAGTTATAATGAGTAGCAATCCATTTAAGGCAAGGAGTTCATGGGCCTTTTTGCAACATATCCACCGTTGATACGGTGAAGGGAAGTAAGAAAGGAGGAGGGAGAAGACTATGACATGAAATAACTCTCCAGGCAGACAATCAATGGGATTTTTCAGCTGCTTCAAAAAAGCATTGATGGCATCCTGTGCAAGCTGAAGAGGCTGCTGAATCTGAAGGTTTAAGAAGTCACATTTGTAGACCGTCTAAAGGAAGAAACAGAGATAGTAAAAGACTCTAAGGGTACCATCTGGATCTATTAAAACATTGTTTCAAGTAAAGTTAGAACCCAATTAAATACAATTAATTCAATTTCCATTTGGATAGCCTTTTAAATGTTATAGATAGCATGTATTACTTTTCGTTAAGGCACATGATTGCTAGCAGGCAACCATCTAGAATAGGCATTCCATCGAAGAAATGCTTTCTAAAATGGTGATGACCAACTGCTCTTTTCCCAGTTATTTTCATTTATCATCCCCACCCACGAAAGATGGTTAAATTAAAGTATTTTTTAAATAAACCAACTAATTATACAACATGATCATAACCTGAAGAATACTTTGCATTTTAAATAATTATAAATATTTGAGAAATACGAAAAAAAAATGCTAAAAACACTTGATTAATGCAAAATGTTGACCACAGTGAGAATAAATAGGCTAAAACATTGGTCAGATCAGTGACAATTTAGGTTTGGCTACAGTCTTACTATTCAAAGCCAGTTTACAAGTTTACCTGTACCACAGGAAAAGCTATAACCATTTTTAAGAAACTCCACTATTATAATCATTATTAGTTTTACTCTTTTGGTATTATCGCTGGGAAATTATAATGATTATAAAAATACCTCAACTCAGTACAAATAACGAGTATTGCTAGTGAGTAAGTGAATAATGGTACATATTTTAGGATTTATTTACCTCTCCTCACAATTTCCATACCTCAACAGCAGGAACAATATCAATGCCAACAGTCAAAAATTCTTCAAACTTCAAAAATGGGTTGAAACAGCTGCCAACATCAAGTAATCTGATCTTTCCTGAAGGATGCAGCAATCTAGATAGAGAGAAATTGAATGTCAGACCACATTGACAAAAAGCTATGAAATATTTTTAAATCTCAAATGTTGCTTCAAGTAATGATTTGTCGTTTAAAAATTAATTACTGACAACACGCCCATGTCTTCCTCCTTCTTTTCAACTTCCCACATTTTGGGGGTCCATATGGGTTCAAATAAAAGCATAAGATTACATTTAAAAGCAACAGATGGCCCCCAGTGGTTTGGGTTAAGTGGAGCGTTCCTAAGTCTTGTAGAGCAACTTGCAACAAGTTCTTTCCAACATGCATTTTTAGAGCTACGTCTGAAAGTGTCAATAAATAGCTAGCTACACTATTCTTCACCACCACTATAAAAGTAACTCCCTGTACTAAAATGTGTCCCTTAGTTTGTTTCAAACATTGTTTCAAGAACCTCGAGGCATCACTTGGAAATACAGCATTCCAGTAACAACATGGTCAGCTAATATCACACTTAGATGATCTACGACTTTTCCTTTCAAGTTAGTTAAGTTACTATATATTACAGTAATTTTAAATATCAGTTATTGAACAGTAATTCCTGACCTCTAAGTGCTAAAACATTAGTTATACTCCGACTTTACCTACATACAGTGAAACCTCAACTTAAAAAGTGTCCCAAGTAAAGAACATTTTGAGTTAAGGGCTGCCACTTTCCCCGGGTTTTGCTTTGACACACAAACAGCATTTTGAGTTAAGAGCTAGAGCCAGAGGGAGCACTAGCATGAAAATACAGGGCTTTAGGGCTTCATGGGAACAACCTCTGGGCCTCTCTGGTCTTGTCTGCTTTGGGAGAGCACTGTCCCTTTTGCTCTTGTCCACTCTAATGAACTTTGGGTTAGTTCATATCCATATATGATCTAACTGAATGAACCATTATTTTTTAAAAAACATGATTTTCTAAGTTATGTCACTTCTAGTTGACATGACTACACATAAAGTAAATCTATTACATGACATTAGATGTTAATTAAAATTAACATTTTCATAAACTTTCTTAAAACTCCTATACTTTTAAAATCCAATTGTTCCTTTTCTGTAACATTTTAAATCCTCTGCAGTATGTTGCACCCATAATTAGAATGAGAATGTAGCATAAATATTCACGATAAATGAGCACAATTAAGCCAAAGTGAAGCATTTTATAGCCTGCTGATTTTAATGATAAAATCTGACGTTTACTTCCTTCACTGACTATATTTACACTATGGAATTTTAAGAACACTATCTCCCCACAACCACACCTGAAATCATTATCTGACCTCTATTATATACTTACTCATCCATTATAGAAGCATGATTTGAATTTTCTGAAGAATTTTCAGTTTTTGGAGTTGGATGAATGCCTGTGTTTGGAATAACTTTGCTTGTAAAGATTCCTCTTTTCTCATCTTTTTCCAGAGCTTTCCGTTTTCCACCATTTTGAAAATACTCCCGTGATACGCTTCAAAAAAGGCAAGACAATTCACAAACGCTTTTGTCATACTGTCATGAGGCACTTCATTATTATATAAGTTGAAACATATTGTAATTATTCCTTTATTTATTCAAAATAACTTACTTTCATCACATCATTAATGATGATGTCTCAGGGAGTATTCTATTATCTGTTTCTCCAGTGCAACTCATTAAGATGCAATGAAATGGACTGCACTGTAGAATTCTATAAAACCCACCATTTCCGCTTCCTTCCCACATTCAATTTACTTCCTTAGTCTTTATCTTCCACAATGTTTTCTCAATCAAGCTTCCGCTTATACTAGGCTCTCCTTCAACTCTCTATTCTACCTGACAAATGTAGAACCAGCCATTCGAAACACAAGTACTTTAATCTGCTTGTATAGGTCAAGCCCATGGGCTTCATGTTACTGCACAGAGCAGTCTAGTATAATCTACAGATGTCAGAACTGCATCACCACTGGCAACATCTGCTCTAGAAACAAGAATGAGCTATTTGTGTAACTGGAACAGACTAAAACTTCTTTTAATCCCCATATGTCTGCAATGCCTGGTCTTAATCCACAGTTCAGTTGATGCCAGTCATGTGGTTTAAAAAGGATGTTTGGTAGCAAATACCTTTCATAACCCTTGACACCCCCCCAGGTGTATGCCCCCTGCTAACTGCTTAAATGTAAAGACTGCTACAAATCCGAGATGCTGATACCCAAAATCTGAAAGTAATTACACACAAATAAGCCCAAAGCAACCACAACTTCACAAACTGTTCTCCTGCAGAGGTTTAAAAATGCTACAAAAAGTTTTGTGCTCTCATTAGCTAGACCAGTGGTCTGCAAGAACTAAAATATGGTCCATGGCCTCAATGTTACTACACCGTTGCAACTAGAGCAACTGGTCTCACAAAACCCTCTTATAGTGCTGAGGCTTATTAAATATGGTTTTCTGTGGGCAAGCAGATGGTGACTACTGGATGGCATATGTTGTGTATAAGAAACTAGAACCGATGTGGTCTATCCAATGCAATTTTCTGAATCAGCACCCCAAATAACCAAACCAAATCTAGTTGACCAAAAACTGATTTGTAACCCTTTTGGTACTAATGTTGGAGAGTGGTTCCTGGTCAAAAAAAGGTTGGGAACCATTGAGGTAGACCATGCAAAGCCTTACCTGCAGCACCACTCAATACGGCCCTCTCCTTCGCTGGCTTTAGTCCAGTGATTATCTGCCAAGTTTTTCATTGCTTCAGCGTATTCGCACAAAGTTTCCTCGTCCTCACAATGTTCACGCCAGATTTTATCAAAGTCTCCCACTAAAATGCACACAGAAATGAAACAAAGATATGAGTAGAAGATGAATAGTTATTAAAAGGTGAAGCAACAAAACCCTATGTGCAAATGTTCATCACAGAGAGGGAGGTACCAATATTAGAGTAACAGAAATCAACTAACCAAAGACAGGCACTTGGATTTCTAGGAAGTGCGTATAATATCCCAAAATGCATCTAGTCATATAAAAAGATATATTAAATACTGAAATTCCACTCGAAGATTGAATAAAGAGATGCTGAATTCTGGAAGAAATTGTATAATCATCATACCCTCACTCAATGAAAAGTGTTATATACAAATAATTTTATTACAATAATTTTTACAAAACATGAAAATTCTTTCAAACAATTGCTTCAGAGCATTTCTTGACAGGCATGTATCCCACAGATTTTATGCCCTCAATATATTGTCTTTGAGCTTTAAAGAAAGTTGCTTAGACCAATAGGCACAATAGGCAAGATACACCAATTTCAAGTAAAAGAAAGGAACAAGCAGTACAGTTATACTAACCAATATCTAAAGCACAGAACCCTACACTTTCCCAAAACGTGTTGCTTTCAGACTAGCTTGAGAACTTAGCTCAGAGGACATTACCTGGTGAAGTACTTTGTTTCAATCTCATGTTAAAAAAGCATACACATCCTGTGCACAAATTCTGCTGAAATGAACAAATTTAGCAGCAGAGGTAATTCACTCATACTCTTCCCTACTATGTCTTCAGTTAGACCTTCAACACTCAATGGAAATTTTGTAGCTGTTTTTCTGGCTCAGCAAACAAACTATCATATCAGATTACTAATAAGACAAGCCTTTTACTGTTGAAGGCTGAAGTTTACTTTAACCACTGTTTCCTGAGTCTTTTAACCACGCTGATGAAACAACAATGGAAAGCTGTGTAATCCCTTCAAAATTACTGATAGATGTTCTCTAATCAGATCATGTTCAGTAACCACTTAATGTTGCACAAAATGGAAAGCTACAAGTCTGCTATTTGTTTGCAAGCACGGTCTTTTTTCCCCTTTGGCAACTGAACATATCTGAATCTAAGCCATCTGCACCTGGAATTAATTCCCATTTTATACACACACTCCCAACTGCCTTTTTTCCATCGCTGCTTCCTTAAACCGTGTTTTTTTTTTTGCTGTGGTAACAATTAGGGACAGGTCAAGGAAGCACAGGTAAGTAGTTAAGCACCTTAAGGGATGAATTTAAACATTAAAACATTGTATAGTGCAATATAAAGCCATATACATTAGTATCCACATGTCATATGAATGTTTTGATAACTTTAAGGGAATGTAAACCCAATACGTGAGTACATCCATTTGGGACATCACGCGAAGTTGGAACAACTTCTCTGTGTTAATTCTTGTAATATAATAACTGTAACAACAACTTCAATTTCTCATAACACAGAAGTAGTTGGCAGGATATATATTGTGCTTATGCTTCATGTATCTTCACAGAATAATAAAGTACAAATGACCTTATTGGGTCATCTAGTCAATACCTTCAATGTGAAGACAAGGTAAGCTCAATGGCCTAAATGCCCCAGATCCCATCTTGGGAGCAAAGTAGGAACAGCTCTAGTTAGTACTTAGATGGGAGATTGCCAAGGAATACCAGGTAAGAGGAAGAAACTCGCAAAGCCATTCCTAAGTATTCCCTTCTCGAAAAAGACATACAAAATTCTTAAGGTTGCCACAAGTGGATAATCTGAAGTTTTCTATGCACACAGTTTTGACGATAGTACTTTTTTCATGTCAGGAGCAACTTGAGAAATCGCAAGTTGCTTCCGGTGTGGGAGAATTGGCCGTCTGCAAGGACGTTGCACAGGGGACGCCCAGATGTTGTGGGAGGCTTCTCTCATGTCCCTGCATGGGGAGCCAGAGCTGACAGAGGGAGCTCATCCGCACTCTCCCCAGATTTGAACCTGTGACCTGTTGGTCTTCAGTCCTGCCAGCACAAGGGTTTAACCCATTGTGCCATTGAGGGCTCCCACTATAGTACTGTAAGCTTTTTAAAAAACAAACTAATGTTGAACTGGAGCTGCTCACTGAAAACAGAATGTTTACATAATTCATTTTGTGAGAGATGCCTGCCCAGCTGTTCACTATGGACTACAATTCCGCAACTTATTTGCCTTGGCTTTTTTCAATGGCCATGGCTATCTGGAAGTTATCCTAACTTTCCAACTGCTTTAATCTACTGGCCAACAGGGCTTGGTCTGAAAAGATCTGGTATTATCTTTCTGCTATTTTAAAAATACAAACTAATGACTCACTTCTCTTATTATCCTTTTCTCCAAGTGAGCCACTGCCATTTTCTTAAGAGCTTCCTAATCAAGCTCTCCACAATTTATCATTCTAACTTTTATTTTTACTCAATAGAATATTATCTAGTTTATAGATACTGAATGAATATTGGTACCACAGTTGCCTGCATCCGGTTTCAGAATATTAGTTGTTACATGCAGAACTATGTTGGCAACTCGTGTTGGTTTGTCAGCCACTATAAATAATTTCACAATTTTGCAAGAAAGTTAACAATGTAGAGATTTTCCTTAACAGAAACAAAAGATTAGAAAGAAGCAACTCTATAGTCCACAAAGATTAACTAGTAGGCCATTTGACTTTTTTGTATCTCCTTAATGGAAAAGCCAATCTTTAGTTCAGAACAATCAGTTCGTAAACATCTGAATCAGACCACTCTTGCTAGTTTGTGAGTAAACTATTTAATGTGGCGATGGATATCAACTGAGTCACCTTTCAAATGAGATTAGGCACATTTATAGAGGCTATTCAGAAAGTCTCTCAACAACACTTGGGGGGGGGGGGAAGGCAGGAGTGTTTCTTTCTGCTTGTAGATTTCCATATGCATATGCTTTACCACTATCAAATAATTTATAACAAACAGGCCATTAATCTGATATAAAAATGCTATTATTCTTAGGTCAGACAGTCTTACAGGCACACACTTGGTTTTAGCTCACTGACAGCCTCTGTTATACAAAATGTTTTTCTTTATAAAACTGTTTTGTAATTAAGGAAATCTCTGAGATTCTTGTTTTAATTAAAAAAGGTCCATTTGCAGGAGACTATGCAGCTTTTAATATACCATGGGGATTTTAAAAGAGTTTACAAGAAAAGGTAATTCAAATAACTTTTATTGACTAGAAGGTCACAGTCATAAAAAAGATTTTTAAAAGACATAAAATTCTACGAAATGTACTCCTCACGATATATATTCTTTCCCCCCTTGGAATTAGCTAATATTATTCTGCAATTTATAGATTGTATAAAATTAAAGAGATACGTTTATATCTAGTATTTTTACAGCTAGCACATTTGGTTTGTTTAGGTTCAGATTTTTTAAATAAGCCATATTACTTTGTAAGAAATCCTCTCAAAAATGCTTTGAAAATGCTTTGAAAATAAGAACAAGTATGTGTCATAGCCATTTGGCATAAAGACATATTTGTTCAAGATTACTTCTGTTCCGGAAGGAAAGTCGCATTCCATTTTTCATATATGCAGAGGTTTGCAAATGGATGTAACATAAGAAACATAAACAAGTATTATAGAAGAGCATTCCGAACAGGTTTTACCTGAGCTCTGCCTACATATAATGCCAAGCATGACAAATGACACTGTTGCCCTTCCTTTTGACAAGGGATTTTAAACATTTAAAAAACGCTTGTGCCTCACAAATCTTGTTTTTCCCTTGCCTCCAGATGAAGGGGCAGCGCAAGCAACACACTATCTCCTACTTTTCAATTTTGACCATGCAATCATATACTCTACTTAAAAATAGAGGGGCTACTTAGAAATAGAGGTAGGTGGATACAAAGATGCCTATTAGAACATTGGATAAAGCACTGCAGCTTCTATCAAAACACAAGTTGACCACCTATAAATAAAGCACTTGGCAAGCTTCTCTCTTAAGTACCACATACAGCACAATTCTATTCAGTATAACAGAATCACTGATATGAAAGTGGGGTAGAAAATATACCCTCCATTAATCCCATAACAAAGTTAATAAATAATATTTTAATGGACTAAGTGCAACCATTGGTCCCAACTATAACAGACTACTGGATCTTGGTATGTTATCGCTTAAACTCCATTGAATCAATGGATTCGCTAAAGGTTGTTAATATCAATTAGATTTAGCTTAATATGAGTAAAATTCCATCTTTTACCCTAAAAACGAGTATTTTCTGTATCTACTTGACCAAGGAGGCAGATGTCAATCTGAAAATACCAGGCTGCATTCTGATTTATGGATATATCTTCAACTTTCCACTTTAATTTTTGTCTGATTATGTTGTCTCATATGCTAGCCGAAATTAAGAAAGGAACTATGTTTGTATTTCAGCATCTCAAAGTAAACTGAATTAGTAGATTTGTAATTATGTGTCTAGGTTTTGCTAGATCCAGTATGTTAACATCCCCTCCCGCTCAGAACTATAATTTTCATCACCAAAATGGAAATAAAAAGGAAAGTGGAGGTGGTGAAAACAATGTTACTCATGAAACATTTTGGAAGAAATGGCCAATAAAAAGTTCAAAATGTTTTTATACTTAATACAAAGTTCATGGACTCTAGTTGTTTCTTTTCACATGCAACTTGTTAGTTTTGAACACAAAGTGTGGTGAAACACACTGAACTTCTCTTTTTTACGGTTTAGAGATCGCTATTATTAAAATATTACAATTGGGCAACAACTGGATACAATAGTATTAAATAAAACCAGAATAACTACATTTTTAAGCACAGCTCTTCAAACACGTTAAAATTAATGTGAACAGTTCTTTCTGTCTTCATTTCCTTCCTTATAATATAAATAATCTGATGGAAATTGAAGCTTTTGAGTTGTCCTGTCTTTTGGTATTTATAAATATTTCAATAAAAATAGCTTTAAATTAAAGCTCTAAATTTGTCTCAAAGTAGTTTTTAGACCACATTATGTACCTTA